ATAGCTAAGAATTTGGTTGACTGGAATAATGTAATTGGCCTAAAATGGGAGTTAAAGTCGGCAAAATCGCCGATTCGTAAATATCGCTGACACATCAAAATTCGCGAGAGCATAATTTCGTCAATTTTCCATCAAATTTCATACTTTTTGTTTTATTACCTTCACAAAAAGATTCTCTACCATTTCATAAGAAAAATAAAAATTTTTTTTTTTTTTAAATTCTTGGACACTGGGGCACCACTTCAGATTTGGGCCTTGGACCCTGAAGGGGTTAAATATGCCAGATGTAGGCACTCAGCATACTGTAACACTGAAACAAAACCCAATCCTGTTAGAGGTTTAAATGTGACAAAAATTAATACTTACCTGGCAACTCATAGTGGGATGTCTCAGGATTCTCTAAGGGGTAATGTGTGGTAGATGGATGTGTCCATAGTCTCCTTGTACCATGTTCTCTTTAGTCCCATGCTGGATATTTTTGGCTATGGGTGAATTAATATGGGTGAGAATAAATCTCTGACACAAGAAAAACTTGCCCAGATCATCATTGAAATACTTAAGGCAAGCCATCAAATGAAGGAAATAGTAATAAGCATCAGCATGTGTGAGCATGCAGTGAGGCACTCGTTACATCAGTACCTTGAGGACAGTGATGATGACATGCGCACACCAAAAGCTTGCCCAGGGAAGCCTAGGAAAACATTCTCACATTTGTTAACTGCACTGCAGTTAAATACAGCATTATAGTTAACAAATGGGGATGTTTTTCTAGGCTTCCCTGGATGTGCTTGGGTAGGCATGTCATCATTGCTGCCCACACAGTACAGACACTAGTTCCTCACTGAATGCTCTCACATAAGGTAGGCCATCATTTGATGACCTGTCTCATGCACTCAAGTGATCTTTGCAGTTCTCCCTTGCAATAGCAATTTATTCTTGCCCATATTAATTCATCCATAGCCAAAAATGTCTGACTAACTCTGCACTCAGGACCACAAAGTGCAGGACAGCCACGGACACAACCATCCACCACACATGCCCAGAAGGCACTGAGCAGCAGCCAGTAGCCTTAGGGAATCCTCAGACATGCTTTTTTTTTTACCAGGCCAGCATTAATTTTTGTCGCACAGAAACATCTAACAAGGTTGTGAGTTATTTTGACATTAAAGTATGCTGGGTGTCTGCACCTACTTTATTTATTTAATTGCTATTTCTTTTATTTGAGAGCCAAATGCATTTCCAGGTTTATTCTATCACACAAGCATATATAGACCCATTGGTCTTGAATAAAATACAGTACCATGACTTTCCTTGATGATATTACAGGTGTAATGGAAAGTTGTGTTGCTCATACAGAACCATATTCTGTACATTCTTCTCTGTGTAAGAAATGCATCTGTGCTAGGTTTAACCCTTTCAGGGTTTCGGCCGTACTAGTACGGCTTATGCACCAGGGTTTTTGACGTGCTTGTACGCCTAAATTCTAACGCCCTCAAATCTAGTGAGAGAAAGCTGGTAGGCCTACATATGAAAGAATGGGTCTATGTGGTCAATGTGCGTGGTATAAAAAAAATCCTGCAGCACACAGTGCATAATGAGAAAAAAAAACTTTGACCATGTTTTTGGATTAAAACAGCGACTTTGCACTGTATTTTCGTACGGTATTTATTGTTGTATTCTAGTTTTCCTGGTCTCATTTTATAGAATGGAAGACATATTACAGAAATTGAGATGATTTTGACTGGTTTTACAAAGAAAAATACCTTGAAATTGAGCTCAAAGTAGCAGAAATGTTCGATTTTTACCAAAGTTCAAAAGTAAATAAATCATGCTATGCGTCCAATACACGTCAACTGGTGAGTCTAATATTCTTTCACAAGTGCGCTGATATTATTTATACCATTTCTAAACCAATGCAGTAGTCTGCATAACAGTAAATCTTCTATTTTTTTTGTGAGAAAAATTCAAAGTGGAAAGCAAAAGAATGTAAGAGGGGCCTGGGGACATGACTAACAAACAGAGGAAATGTTATTTTAGTGCCAGGAATGTCTTTCTTGCTTATTCTGGACCCTATTTGGAAATTGGCATCTTTTGAAATTTGTGTGAAATTGGCAAAATTGCTAAATTTTGACCACTATTGGATAGTTGAAATTGGTAAATGGGTGGTTTCTTGTATTCATTCGATAGAAAAAATGGAGTTCTAGCGAAATACGTATGATTTTTGTCAACTAAACAGGAATTGGCCGAAAATAGGGCTCAAAGTGGGCAAAATCGCCGATGCGTAAACATCGTCGAGACCGCTAACTTCGCGAGAGCATAATTCCGTAAGTTTTCCATCAGATTTCATACTTTTGGTGTCATGATCGGGAAAAGATTCTCTATCCTTTCATAAGAATTTTTTTTTTTTTTAACCCCTTCAGGGTCCAAGGTCCAAATCTGAAGTGGTGCCCCAGTGTCCAAGAATTTAAAAAAAAAAAAAAATTTGTAATTTTTTCTTATGAAATGGTAGATTCTTTTTGTGAAGGTAATAAAACAAAAAGTACGAAATTTGATGGAAAATTGACAAAATTATGCTCTCGCGAATTTTGATGTGTCAGCGATATTTACGAATCAGCGATTTTGCCGACTTTAACTCCCATTTTAGGCCAATTACATTATTCCAGTCAACCAAATTCATAGCTATTTCACTAGTATTACTTCTATTCTATCGATTGAGCACAAGAAATCGCCAAGTCAACTATTTCAACTACAAATTAAAGTGATCGGAAATTGTTAATTTGGCCAATTTAACACAAAGTTCAAAATATTCCAATTTCAAAATAGGGTCCAGAATAAACAATGTAGGTATTCCTGGAACTAAACTAACATTTCCTCTGTTCATTAGTTATGTTTTGAGGCTTTACAAATAAATTCCATTTTGATTTTTTTTTTACATAATGAATTTTTATTCACACCAAAAAATAGAAGATTTACGGTTATGCAATATTGTAATAATTGTATAAATATCATCACCATATTTGTGAATGTATATTAGACCCACCAGCTGGCGTGTATTAGATGTGTGAGGTCGTTTGTTTACTCTTGAATATCGACAAAAATTTAATATTTCCGCTACTTTGAGCTCAGTTTCAAGCCGTTTCCAGTGCTAAAACCAATCAAAATCATCTCTATATCTGTAATATGTCTTCCTTTCTATCAAATGAGACCAAGAAATCACAAATACAACTACGTATAAAAAACATACGAAAAAACACTGCAAAGTCGCTGTTTTAATCGATTTTAATGATTTCAGTTTTTTTTCTCTCATTATACACAGTGTGCTGCAGGATTTGTTTTATGTGGTGCACACATACCACATAGATGTATTCTCTCATATCTAGGCCCAAATGTACCACTCACAGTTTATCAGAGTGAGCTGAGCTCATGACGTAGATCTACGGTTTGGACCCTGAACGTAAAGCCGTAGATCTACGGGACGGACCCTGAAAGGGTTAAATTTGGGCGACCCTAAGAACAAGTCTGTGAGAGGGCCTGTCGACCCTGAAAGGGTTAACAGAGTTGTTCTCATTTAGGAACACTTTCAGTTCAGCAGCAATTCTCTGAGAAAATAAACTACGAAGTGTAGTGTCTTAATTTTGCTAAATCGAGTTGCTTTAACTGAGTGGTGTATAAAAAGTCATTAGATTGAAGAATTTGGTTCACTATCGCAGTCTCATGGCTATTCATTTTTTTATTATTTAATGTCATAGAATTATTGTTTTAGATATCTAGTGATTTTATCTATGACCCTTATGGGTTTAGCGCTTAGTTATGATTCTAATAATTCTAATAGTGATTATATCACTTACTACGTTCTCTTGTATCCCTTTTCATTATTCTGTCATTATGGAAGAGAAAACTTTCATTACCTTTCCTCAGTTTACTACTGTAGCCTCCTCCTCCTCCTCCTCTTTCTGTTTGGGTTACAAAATAACTTTTCCCTGTTTCATACATTTTTAAAACCTCATGTCTTTTTTTTTTTTTTCCTTTTATTGTCTGTTTAACTCCTATGAGTAAGTGAGAGTATTTTTTATTGTTGTCAGCCTTTCACTGTAACTCATTTGTTTGACTTTAGAGCTATTTTTTGTCTTTATACTTTACTCATTTTTTTGTGTGCTTGTGTGCAGACAACTTGCTATAACTGCATATTACAAATTTTGTCTAACATACTGTATTCTACAAACAGCATTTTTATATAATTGTCAATATATGCCATTATCTTACAACTTTTAGACTTGCCAATGCTCCTCCTAGATTTTTTTTATACAAAGAATATTCACGACAAAACAGCTTTATATAAATCTAGAGTATTGTCATCACTTTTGAATGAATTTGAAGGATGGGCATGTAATCAGTTCAGACCCTTGTAGGTTTAGTGCTTCTTTTTTATTATAATAATAATAATGTAATCAGTTCATTTGTGACCCAGAAATTATAATTTTATTGATGGTGACTAATTAATTTTTAATATTTTTATTTGTGTGTTGAAATACTGCAAAGTGCTGCACTGTTTTGGCTATCAAAGCTCTGTATACTGCATTACAGTTGGTTATATTTTAATCTATATCATAATTATATTTTAGGATGTACAGTTGTTTTTATGCAGTTGTATATACCAACATTTCAGCTAACCAAATGGCAGTCAGATTTTCTTTTTTCTGTATTTTGACTAACCAGCTTAAGCATTTTGGTATACATCTGGTGAAGAATGTTGCAGTGTCTGACAAGGTATACATGTATGGTATACACAATACCAACATCTTGTTGGTATTGTATACCATACATGTACGTACATACAAGCTGGTAATGAGTGTAGTTAAGTATGATGTCACTTAATAAAAGATGGAGAGCATTACTTTTCATCTATAAGTCTGGGATGAGGTACTGTAGTATAAAGTCTTCCATTAGTTTCTTTGTATATAGTTTTATGTTTTAAAGTACAGGAATTCCTTGTGTTGCAGACGATGACATTCTACGAGGGGGGTGAGGCAAGCAATGGGGATGCTCCGTCCGTGTTAGATGCCTCGGTTGACAAAACATCAACGCCCGACACCTCTATGAATGAAACGACAGATACCCCTCAGATGCTAGATCATTAACCAAGAGGCCTTACAAAACTCATTCAGAATAATTTAGAACTTTTATTCCAGCAGACAAAAGAACGAGTCTTTGGAATATTTTGAATTGTTCTTAGCCTGTTAATTATAAGTGTTCAAGATGCAGAACAATACTTTGTCAAACCTTGTTTTCTTGGTTTTGAAATATAAGATGTTTTAGACAATGCAGTTAGATCTGAAAAACTGAAATTACTTAAGATGTCTATATTGAACAAAGTTTAAAAAAAAAATGTTGGATTATAAATTTGTGATATTAAATTTACAAATATATATTTAGTGTATATATGTTGGGGAAGGTTTACCATAAGTAACAGGCATGTTTGTAATTTGAATAATGTACTGTATTGTATTCAGTGTTTCATGAAAAATGTAGGAATCTAGTATAAAAGTTTACTGAAAGTTCTTGCTACTTTTGAATGGGAAACCTTAATGCAAAATTTATAAAAGATTTAATAATTGGTTTACCTTAAAACTTCAGTTGCATAGATGAAAATAAAATATAATTTTATCAACAAGCTGGTTTGCTTCAAATATATAATTAAGCTTTGGTTCAAGAAAAAGTATTTTGTACTGTAGATGCTGCTAATTTGGATAGCTTCATTACTTTGTGTTAGGAGTACCCTAATAACTTTTCATATATATTATCCTGCCTCATACTATCTAATGATAATGATGACCTTATGTACCACATGTTTTTGCTTTGGTATGGTAGTATTTTTGGATAATAGTCTTATGTACTACATTCTTGCTTTTGGTATGGTAAGATTTTCAAACTTTCATACACCTGGAATTAACTTGTAGGAAAACAATTAAATACAGTATTTGCTTTATGTGCCGTCACAGTTTTGATTTGGATGGTTTATCGGTAGCATTATTTTATTGTTGTAGGTTAATGAGTGTGAATTGTTCTTCCAGTTCCAAGTGCACCAGAGTGGTCATTATTAACCAACAGTAAAAAGAGGAGAGATGATCTAGAAAAGTTCAAAAAACAGCACATGTGTTTTAAGTCATTCTTTGGCAATAAGGCAGTTTATATTTTAAATTATTTTTCTTTTTTCCTCATTAATCTATTGAGAACAAAATACATAATTTCTCTGTTCTAAAATATTTTCTCAATTGTAAATTATTGGTTGGCTTTTTTAGAGAGAATATAAAGTGAATCTAAGATTTGGATTTTTTTTAATGGTCAGTATGAGAAGTATTAACATTTTGTCTTGCAAAAATTCTTTGTAGCTATATTTCTAGCTGATACATGGCAGTAAAACTATAGGGCAATACACTGAGTAGCTTTGAAGATGGAATTTTGTTACAGTATCAAGCATGAACCAGTAAGTTCAATCCATTATATAGATATCTCTTTTTAGATCTGTATAACATGTCAGTGATTATAAATTTTTTGAATGCAATTTTTCAATTTATATGTTACATATCTATAGCTGCATTATTCATATATATATTCTCTTCACTCATATTCACAGCATAGTATTAGCTAATATTCATAAAATTAATTCTGTAGTTATGTAAGACAGATTGTTTACTTCTACTATTCATTATGCCTAGTGTAAATGTATGAATTTGGCAAATATTTTTTAGTATTGCATAGTGTCACTGTTCATAGCAAAGTATCTTATAGTATTCATGAACTGTTTCAGTAAGGGATAAATATTCCATTGAACCTACCTTGATGTAAATCCAAGGAATAGCTTATCATATGATATAATAGAATTGGATGCATTCCATGTCATACATATTTCACCTTATTCACTGATTCTGTACATGTCACTGGGAATGTAGTCAACACTACATGTATCAAGTACTAAAAGACATTCAACACACTTATGTTGATGGTTACAAATGAATCTTATCTTCATGAGTGACATTTAAATTCTTCTGTTGGGCAGTGTGATTGGTTTATAATCCAACATTATGAAAGACTAAGAATGATAAGATGCATATTGCATCAGGAAACACAAATACTGTACGTATAAATCTGTATTTTAGTCACTGGTGTGTTAAGTAATTGGTATGAGCACTTTTCTTTTATAGTAAACTACAGCTTTGCCCTCTATTAAGTGTACATGGGTGAGTGTATATACAGAATTAAATTTTAATTGTCACTTTGGTGATGTAGAGATTATACATTGTGTAGTAATTTTCAGTCTCACAATAAGTGCCCTCCAGAGTTTGTGCCTTGTGTGTGAAGTGATAAAACATTATTATGATTCAACTTATTGTTGCATAATGTAATTCAGGATTTTATGTACCAAGTCTTCAGTATGTAATATATCACCACTATTTTGACATTCCAATTTCCAACATTCAGGAGATATGTGATAGCACAGCTAACAGTTTAAAGATTTTGGTTAATCTTGGTGATTAAATTATTATTCGTGTAGATACAATTTCATACAAAAATATATTTAAGGTGATACAGATGGTGCCTTATAAAGAGCTACTTAGATATGTTGAAATTAAATTTCAAACAGGCTTTTGGAGGTGAACTTTTAAAATATAAGAGTGAAGGATATTTGCATTTAATTCCCTCCAGTATTGTCTTGGTCTCATTTTATGAATTTCTCAAAAAGCCCTTTTTACCGGTAGCCTGTCAGAATTTCACTAGGAAAACTTTGTTAACTTCTCACTGTATGCTCGTGCCTCACAAGTGAATCTATTTAATGTATTGGATACTTCTTTATAAAGATAACCAGGTAAAATCCTGACTAAAATACATGTTTTACTAGCTTAATTGCTTTTGTACATGCATTTTAAGAAACATTACTTGGATATTGTAACTTGGTTGTTTTACTTAATTGATTATTCTAGTAAAGCATGTTCATACAGCTGATATATTGTATATTAAATCATATAATTGTTAAAATTGTCTTCCAGGTTGGTCTGGGATTATATTTCATAATTAATTTGATAATAAATGCTTCTCTCATATTAATTTTATTGAAACCTTGGATTATTTTTGCAATAGTCTTTGATATTTATATATTAACTTATTAATACAGGTACAAGAGGTCCAACTTACAAATGCCCCACTACAAATATGCCAACAAGTATGTAAGAAAGAAACTGGGTGCAAAGCAAAGCTGCATTATTGATGTTTTGCTCTGGGCAGAGCTGTATCAAGATACTAGACGTACTGTGTCAGGTCATTATATACAGGTGAGTGGTGAAGCAAGTTGGAACCATCCATAACCTGTTAAGTTTTTTCCATGTGAAAAAAGCTTGGAAAATAGCTTAGCAATGCTAAATTTCCCTTGAGTCTGCTCTAGTGTTGAAGGTTTGTATTATTATTATTAATTTATTATTTGTAATTGAAGCATGTGTTTTAAATGTTATTCAGCTCTGTATGACCCTTGTGGTTTTAGTGCTTAGCTATGATTTTAATATGTAATAAGTTAAATGTTACATAAAGGAAGTGGAGTTTACAAAGTGTGGGGATAACAAAACAAGAATTCAAAAGAGTTGTGGAATTATTGAGGTATTTGGGCATTTAGAGAGGATAGTGCAGAATAGGATGAAGAGGCTGTATAAATCTGGGATGCGAGTTGTCCCAGAAAGGGCTGGAGTGAGGAAGGAGGTAAAGGTTTTGAGTGGTAGGGCCTGAACAGCCAACAGGCTTGTAAGAGCATGTTAGAGTGGAGTGGAAATAGAAGTTTTTATGACCTTTACATGCTATTCGGGTGTGTGAAATATAACATTTACCAAGGGACTCGGAAAAATCAGTTAGCTGAACTCGTTTTGAAGGTGGGAAGTACAGTTCCTGTACTCTGAAGGAGGGGTGAGGATACTGCAGTTTGAAGTGTCATTACTCTTCTGGTATGACTATAATTGAATGAATGGCAGTGAATGTGTTTCATCTTTATCTCTTGAGTCACTCTACCTCATTGATAGACAAGATTAAACCCAAATAGGTCACACAACAAAAGTCTGTAATTGCTGCCTTAAACAGTCTTGCATTTTTTTTATAACGAGTTCATGTGTTTATTGAAGTGTGCATGTTAGTCTTTAACAGGCAGTTCTGATTCCGAGGTTTACATACATACTTATGGTTGAGGATTTTGGGAGATTCGGAAAAGAAGCTGAAAAGGTTGGTAAACAAATTTGGTAGGGCATGTAAAAGAAGTTATTAAAAGGAAACAGAAAAGAGCAGAATGATGAGTATCAAAAAATATAGGCAATGAAAGATTCAATATTAGATTGGAAGAATGGAATATGGAGGAAGTAAATGTGTTCAAATATTTGTGATTGGACTTGAAGTCAGATAGTTCTGAGAGACGAGTTGAACCATGGAACTGATGAAGGGAATAAGGTGGGTGAAGTGTCGAGGCATTTGTGTGACAAAAAACTTTATACATGGAGGCAAAAAGGAGAATGTACCAGAGTATACTGGTATCAACTGGGTATGAAGAATGGGTTTTGAATGTTGCAGTGAAAAGGCTGAACACAGTAGAGATGTATGTTTGAGGGTAATGTGTGGTGTACATATGCAGAGAATTAGAAGTTTGGAGATTAGGAAATGTGGAGCTACCAAAAGTATTATTCAGAGGGCTGAGATGGGGTGTTGGACATTTAGAGAGGATGGAGAAAAACAGGATGACCAGGAGGGTGTATAGCAAGGTGGAGAATGAACAGAAATTGGGAGTGCACGTTCATTGCATGACTCATCAGAAGAGGGGTTTAATTGCTTTAAAAGAACATAAAGATAGGAAATAGACTATATGGCTTAGTTTGGATTTTTGTAGATAAATACATACAGGGTAAAACTAGGACACCAACATTTGGAACTCTCCCAGATTCTCCCTCTATTTTCTGATATTCCATTGTAGAATTTACACTACTGTACTTACTAGTAATACAGTGACAGGGTAAGCAGGGTTGGTGGTTATGGACTAGAGTGGATGGTAAAATGGATGCAAGATGGTAAGTAATAAGAGATATGTGTGGTGTGGTTTTGTGTGTTAAGTAGTATGCAATGTCATTTGTAAGTGTAGATGGTGGTAAGTCACTAACAATAGAAGGGAAGGTCTCATGAGGCAGAGATGTTGGTGTTAGTATGTTAGTGTACTCAGTCATGTGGTGTTTGTGTTAAGATATAGAAGAGAGGTCCAATAGTTTTTCCACATTTGAAATGAGGTTTATCGAGGTCCATTTCTGGCTCTCCTCCAGATATGCTGTTATGGCTTCATGTCTCTGGAGGCAGAAAAGTGGAAGACAAAGTAATGTGTTGTTATTTTGAAAATGTTAAAAAATGCTCATTATTGCTGTACAAGTCAATAACAGTGGAGTGAAGAAAAGACAAGAATAAAAAATAAATATATTATAAAATTGTATGGCCACATTTCTGAGTCTACCCGTTAATAAAGGAAGAACAGTGGATCCACACACTTGGTTACAGAATTTGTATAAACTTTTTTCATCCCTACCAAAGACTTTAATTGATTACACTGTTGCAAGGTAATGTAATTTGAAAATGCTAATGTGATTACTGGTGTTATTTGATTATTGCTAAATGTTACTATAACACTGATTATCTACAAGATGTGGCATCCTAGTCGGATAAGCACTGTCATGTCAGTTTTTAATGTTTTTTTTTTTCATGTTTTTTGCACTTTGAAGGATACACCATTTTTGTAATTTAAATGCTGAATTTACAAGCTTGGATTAAAGCAGTCACCATAAAGAGTTAATCACAGAATATAAGAGCTGTGCTTCAGCACAAGTTTGATAAGACCTGCCTAAGATGCTTTCCAACTTAAAAAAAAAAAGCATATATGGGTAGGAAATCTAAAGAATCGAGACACAGTACAATGCATTTCTAGACTTTAGATTAACACACACACATACCTAATGCCTCTGAATCACAATGCTGTATTACAATTCTATATATGAATCAAGAAATCGTTTTTCATTGTGGAGATTTGTGAGGCTGGAGTTGAATGACCCCCACAGGTTTAGTGCTTTTTGTGAATATAATGTGAGGAAGAATATTTATGCAAACATTTTTGTCCAATCAACAGGAATAATGTTAATTAGTATTGTATTGATAAATAATCACAAACACATTACACTATGAACATGTAAATAAATTATAAACTGTACACAAACACTTTAGAACATAATGGATCTCTAAGCATTACAAAAATACTGAAAAACTATCTTTTGTACATCTCAAAGTACATATCTGACTAATGCAAACTTGCTGCTCTTTGACAAATAATTTTATTTTTAATGTACTGTACTAAATCTACAAGTGAACTCGCTTGTAGATTGTATATAGTTTAGTTACATATTTACTTTTCAATTTTTGGTAGAATTTGTCACTATGTAGACAGTGTACAGACACCAGTGTCTAATTCTATGGTTTCTACCATTAATCAAAATACACGAGTTTAATTATTTAATTTCACATTTTAAGGGTAGATTCAACTGCTGTTGTATCAACAATTGTTGTTGTTGAAACAACTCTCGATAAATTTAAATTGACCTATAACAGACACAGCAGAATTTATCTAAAAAAAAAAAAAAATGCATAAATTTTAGTGGAATTAGATGAGGTTTCTAAGTTAGTTTTTGTTCAGAAATAAATATCTTTATACATACATTCTTTTGGACTAGCCACAAGAGTGAAAATGGAGCTAACACTGTAAACTGCTTAAATAGTAAAATGTTCTACATATAACTGTCGATTTTGACTGGAGGTATAAGTAAAAATATGCTTAGGTATAAACCTGCACTCCTTTTTTTTATTTTCAAAAGGGGAAGGATTAAACCTGTAGGTGCATATAGCACCTTGGGAGTAGGAGGCATTCAGATTTGATCCAAGGAAGAGGCAGGCATGCCAGTCCAGTTCCTTGGATCAAGAGTTCCGAGTGGGCTGAAGTTTATCATGTCCGTGTTATTCAGTCAACCTTTGGCAATTTCAGTAAAGTCAAATAAGGTATGAATTTTATTTGTAAATAATTTATATCACACAATACAATGCAGTAACAATAATGCTCGGCAGCTAGTTATTCTTCCCCTCACATAATTTTCGCAGCAGCCAGACTTGTTATGATGTGAGCTAGCCACAACGTAAAGAAATAGTCAGTTTTTAAATGTGTGAATTTTCAGCCCTTAATATACAATTAGGGTGGTTCTTGTAATGGGTTTTTTACATACAATAATTGGGAAATAAAAGGGTGTGTATACCTTAAATCAAGAGCTCCTCTGCACTTGTTAGCAAGCATATAACAATGAATGTCGACTTACCAAACATATGGGAAGTTTACTGTACTGCAAAGTGGTAAAAAATGTACATGTTAATTTTCCTCTTTTTGACAACTAATTTCAATGTTGCTAAATAAATTTTACACCGTGGTCCCTTGTGCATCAGAAGAATTATCTCAATAGCAGTAAAAACTCAATTTAACATACATGTGCTTAAGAAATGTGGAAACAACATCCACTGAGCCAAATGATGCAGAATCACAAAGTCCACTCATTAAAGAATTGTCCTTTGTTACAATCACGGGAAAATCTCGCTTCTGTCCCCACAATCGTCATTATTGGCCATCAGCTTGTTAAATTGAGGACTTACTACATTACTGTTAAAACCAAACACTAAAATTTTAAACTGCTAACATAACTGCACAGATAATTTTCCAAATACAGTCCTAATTAATTAAACTTAATGTCCCTAGTCATGCTAACCCCAGAGGGAAAGGAAGGCATTCAGGTTCAATCCAAGAAAGGAAAGATCAGGTTTACTTCCTTCCATTTTGGGTCCCTCACTGGCATTAAGGAACCTTTCTTGAAAGATCAAATGTATTTGGTAATTAATTACAACAATCTAGTACAATACTTTCACCATATAGAGTACAGTGTAACCTCAAATTTCGAACATATCACTTTTCAAACTCTTCGAAAATAGAACCCTTTTTTCTAACCAAC